CTCAAAACTAAAAATAAAAAACTTGCCGGGTGATAGTGGTGCGTGTCTTTAATCCCAGCACTTGGGAGGCAGAGGCAAGCGGATCTCTATGAGTTCAAGGCCAGCATGGTCTACAGAGTGAGTTCCAGGACAGCCAGGGCTACACACGGAAACCTTGTCTCAAAAAACAAAATGATAAATAAAAAATAAAAACTAGGACAGGCATGGTGGTGCATGCCTTTAATACCAGTCCTCAGGAGGTAGAGGCAGGCAGATCTCTGAATTTGAGGTCAGCCTGGTCTACAGAGCGAGTTTCAGGCTAGCCAATGGCTATATAGTGAAGTTTCAATATGTATATTTAAAACATTAAAACACACACACACACACCACCACCACCACCACCGACAACGGTGATATAGATATAGCATGCCTGTCATATTAGCACTGGGAAAGGGGCCAGTGGTAAGAAGATCAGAAGTTCAAGGTCACCCTCAACAAAATAGTAAGCTGTCCCTGCCTAGGCTACAAGACAGTCAAATTAAAAACAAACAAAAAACCCCACCCAAACTCAAAACAAAACACCACAATTCTGAACAAGAAATCTATCAACCTTGCTTCTTCTTCAGGGCATAGGTCGGGAATGCCCTCCCCAGCTCCCCCAGCCCATAATCGCCCCTCCCGCCTCTCAGTAGGCTTCTACACCCTCCTTCTACAACCCAGGCTGGGTTAGCGCTTCTAACTTTAGCCTTGTTCATCAGCTGATCTTCTGTGATCAAGAGAGCTTTGGTGGTGACGTCTCCCCATGGGGCAGGTTATCATCTCATATCCTCACAGGCAAGGTGCGTGGTGATATATTATTTATGATTTATTAAAGCTTGCCTGAGGATTCAGAAAACAAAGTCAGCCACAAGTCATAGAAGCCAGGCACACGCCTTTAATACCTGCAGCTAGAAGCTAGAAGGTACACGCCTTTAATCCTAGGATTTGGGATTAAGAGGTAGATGGATGGATCTCTGTGAGTCCAAGGCCACCCAGATCCAGTTCTAAAGAGAAACAGCTCACACAAAGATGATCTCAGCACCTGGGATCACAAGCCTTTAATCCCAGCACTAGAGGGGTATGAAGGATAGGAGCAGGGTCTTCAGTAGTCAGTATCAGGGATTCATTCTCCAGCCACATTGAGGATAGGAAGACACTGAAGTCTCAGGATTCTCCAGCCACGCTGAGGAGAGGTTACAGTCTGAGGTTTGGTGGAACCAGGATGTCTTTCAGTCTGAGGTAGAGTGAGAGCAAGTGTCCAGATGCTTTGCTTTTCTGACCTTCAGCTTGAAGTTTGAACCCCAATATCTGTGTCTGGGTCTTTTATTTTTCGTGTTACAATGGTGTTTCTCCAGCTTTATCCCCTTTAGAGAACAAATGTCCATCTTTCCCTGGTGTGGAGGAGGAGATCCCTGAGTCTGGCTCCGTTGCCTTATTCTCCTTTTGGACAGCACCATCTCCACCCATGTGGAGGTCACTGTTTTCACTTCCCGTAATTATCGTGTGTCCGTATTTCTGGATAATCTACAATGACTTACTTTCATCACCAGAAAGAAAGCCCCTAAATTTCTTTCAGTTTATAATTTCATAGCTCTGGCCCTTCCTTTCACTTCATTTCTTGGAAAATCTTTCTTTCAAAGAAATAGGAATTGGGAAAGCATGTTTGTGCAGCATCAGTATCAGTGTCATTTAACACAGAGGATCAGGAGATGGGGGCATCAAAAGGTCCAATTCTGGCATCCTGGTTAAGGATACTGATAGAGCCCATGACCTAAGCTCTGTTTCCAAAGCCATTTAACAATGTGAGGGAAAGGCTGCAATTCAACAGAAAATTCGAGAGGTAGAACACAGACCTTTGGCCACACTGTTATTCTGATTTTATTTGAACATAAGCATGAATGGATATGGAAAGGGATGACTTTAAATAAATATATATTTGTGTGTGTGTGTGTGTGTGTGTGTGTGTGTGTGTGTGTTACCTGTGAAGGCCAGAAGAAGGTGTCAGATCTCCTGGAATTGAAATTTGAGGCAGTTGTGAGCTGCCTGATATGGATGCTAGGCACTGAACCTGTCTTGAACTCGCTATGTAGACAAGGCTGGCCTAGAACTCACAGAGATCTGCCTGCCTCTGCCAGGAGAGTGCAGATCAAAGGCATTGCACAACCATGTCCAGCCATATCTTTTATTTTTGAAGTTAACACACAAAGTAATGGGTTTCATTGTGTCTTATTTACACCTGTTTCTTTAAGCTTAGTTCTAATCCAGTGGTGGATCACTGTGGATGATCCAGGTCAGCCTGGATCACAGAAACCAAACCAAACTAACAACAAAAATCAAAGACAAGAAAAAGTCATGAGGTCAGCAACCTAGTGCCCAGTCAGCCAGCACAATTAAATCAGGAAGAAGTTTTGATAGCACCCTGCTTGACACAGTCCCTGCATTGTTTATGTGTACTTGGTATAACCCTGCACTTCTCTTGCCTACCCAGGAAGGCTGTGGTGAATCCAAGTGCCTGGAATTCATCTTTTTATAAAATAACCTTGAGTCTATTCTGATTCATGAAAAATAACATGTCACTCATGAGCTTCAGACCAGGGACTGTGACACAATCCTCATGTCTAATTATCCTGTTTCTCACCCAACCCAGTCATTTCACAGGAGAGAAACTGAGGCCCAGAGAATGGACAGAACCAGAGTGAGTGTGAGAGATGGTGGCAGATACCAAGTGTCCTACCCCCAGATGGTGGTTTTTCTGGGACCCAGAGCTACTAGGTCTTGGTGGACTCTGGGGAGGGGTGGGTGGGAAGAAGGGAGCAAAGGAAACCAAATGATGTAGTTACTCTCCAGCCACACCCTCCAGGAGGCCACTGAGTTTTGTATTTGCCAGTACACTCCCCCACCCTTGTTTGGATGTGAGGGGATCAGCAGGGTGCTGGTGTGAGTCAAATTGTGTCTTCCTTAACCCCCAGGCTCTCAAAATGTAAACTTATTTGGGAATAGGGCCTTTCCTGGAAATAATCAAACTGAAATGACTTCTTTGGATCAAATCCAATATGAACACGTGGGAAGAAGAGAGATGTAATGAGAGAGAGAACGGCCTATGAGGATGGGAATGATGCTTCTAGGATCCGATTAAAGAAAAAAAAAACAGCAGAAAGATGTTCAGAAAACTACCAGGAGCCAGGAGAAAAGTGTGAAGGGATTCTCACCCACAGCCCTTAGAAACTTTTGAGCTTGGACCTCCAGGGTCCAGCACTGTGAGAGGATACATTTGTATCATCTCAGCCACCCTTTTATCAGTATTTTGTTACCATGGTTACAGTGGCCTTGCCCATCAAAGGCAGGAGGGGTGAAGCCTTCCATGCAAAGTCTTCATGCACACCACCCCTCCCCACACTACATGGTCCCCCCTATTGTACATCCTCACCCTCAGCTCCTTTGCCCTTGTTTTTGTGTAGCTGCCAGTTTAGGTCCCAACTGCACCCAGCCCTTACATCAACTTCCGAGAAAGTGAACTCAGTGCTAGGATGTTCACCTTCTTTACACCTCTCCCATGGCCTCTCCAAGCTGGGCCAGGTGGAGGATGTGGAGAGTAGGCTTCGGAGCCTCAGAGCGGGGTGGCTCTGAGAGCCTCCAGCCTTCAGCCTCTCAGTTAAGAAGGGACTGAGCCTCCTGAGTCAGGCCTTCTAACAGACCTGCTTCTTTATGCCCAGTTTAGCTCCATCTCCCAAGTCACTGTCAGATCTGGGCTTTTGGGAGGAATACAAGTGCCTTGCTGGCAACGTTTAGAGACTCAGTGAGATAGCTGTGTTCTGAGCAGTGGTCCAGACCCCAAGAGTTAGTGGCCATTGCTGGTGAAGTCAGGGAAGCCTTCCTGGAGGAGGGCAGCTGTTTTGTTCCTGGCCTTGCTGGAAAGTGTGAGATGAATTTTATTGCTTGACTCTGCCGAGCCAGGCAGACACATACTTTTGTTTATTTTATTGCATATCCTTTGCGAGGAAGTTAAAGCTGCCCCCAAACTCACTATATAGCCAAAGATGACCTTGAACTTCTGGCCTCCTGCCTTCACCTCCCAAGGCTGAGTGAGAGGATAGACATCCAACACCACATGAAGTTTATGTGATGCTGGTGATCCAACCTAGGACTCTGCTCATGCCAGGCAGGAACTCTACCAACTGAGCCCCATCCTCAGCCTGGTTATGTTTTAGAGATGAGAAAAATGGCGACTCAGATGTGATCGACTCCAGGCCGCATGACTGGCACAGGTGGGAGCAATAAACTTAGGAGCCAGGTGTGAAAGCACTTCTTACTCCTTCCTCCCGTACCAATGCTCTGACCTTTTCAGGTCAATAGACACTAAGAGGCTCCGGGGAGTGGCAGAGTAAGAAGGGGACCTTCTGTACTGCCACTGCATAGTCTTCCCCAGTAAGTTCTGGATACAGAGATACAGGTCCTTCTTATGCTCCTTCTCACAGGCTGACTAGAAAGGATTTGGGAAACATATGGCTTGCCTTAACCCACCCTTTCGAAGTCCCCGGGTACCCACAGTGAGGTGGGAAGGACTAATGGGGTGACTGATTTAGAATATGAAGGTCTTGGTAACAGGCATGTTTGAGGGAACAATGTTTAGTCAGGAGGCACACAACAGGGGACAGCAGGCTGAGGTACCCAACAGGCATGGGACATGGGACAGGGTGGGAAAAGACACTTGTTTTGGCCACCAATAAATGGGCAGTTGATTATCAGGACGCTGGATAGGATGGGGAGTGGGTGAGAAGAGACCAGTGTCCGGATGTTTCAAAAGGCAGAGTGTGAGGGCTTAGTGTTGAGAGGAAGGCTTTATCTGAGGGTTTAGGGTGCTGACTGGGGCTGGGCTGTAGAGATGGAAGACAGATGACAGAAGACTAGAAGGAAAAGGAAGCCTGGGTAAAATAACTGCCTTCCTCCCGCTGCCCCAGGCAGCCAGGACAGCATCAGCACACTTATGATCAAGTCATGTTTATTTTAGAAGCATAAACAATGGGACAAGGAGCGACAGAAACAAGACACCAACCAGTTCCCCCGGAAAGGGCCAGATCCAGCGCAGGCTGTGTCTGTCCAGGTGATGAAGCCGAGCCAGCAGCCTGCATCAGCCTTCTTCCAGGAGGACAGGGTGTGATGAAAACCCAGGGTGCAGTCCAGTAGGGGAGGCCCAACAAGTCCAGTTGGCTCTGGGTCCCTCTGGATCAGGTGAAAAGATCAGAGGATCCATAGCACCCTTAGCCAGGAGTACCCCCACCTGTTGTGACCGAATCTGGGCAGAGTCACATTCTGGAAAGAAGCCACGGTGTCCCTTGGTCATCACAAAGTATTCCAGAACCACCTGTAATCAGGTCCTCTGCCCAGCGAGTGTCCCAGTTGTCCCCTTAGTGCCTTTGAGGAGGGGCCACCTGAGAGGCATCCAAGATGGACATAGTTCTCAGGACCTCTCTCTTGAGTAACATGAGCCCCAGGTCCTACACATACTGCTTCTTAGATGCAGAGCTGTTGGGGCGACTAGGGGTCTTCCGGCCACCCTGAGGGGCTGCATTTTCAAACGGGGGAGGCCTAGAAGAGGTCAGCCTCTCCTCTGTGGTCAAGTTGGCCCAGTTTTGCTCACTGGATGAGAGCCCATTGTAGGTGGGACATGGTGGGGACGAAGGTCCCTCGCCCATGGGGAGGTAGAAGAAAACCTGTTCAGGGTAAGGGTCTGAAGCGCTGCCCTGGACTGGGGGTGTGTCGTGGTCCTTCCGTGCCTTTATCTCCCGGCTGACGCACCGACATAGCAGGTGCACCAGTTCCAGAAGGTTGAGCACCAGGGATATGACTCCCACCACCAACATGAAGATGATGAAGATAGTCTTCTCTGTGGGTCGAGAGACATAGCAGTCCACGAGGTGGGGGCAGGGCGCACGCTGGCACACAAACACGGGCTCCATGGTCCAGCCGTAGAGGCGCCACTGGCCATAGAGGAAGCCTGCCTCCAGCACACTTTTGCACAGCACACTGACCACATAGGTACCCATGAGCGCCCCACGAATCCGAAGACGACCGTCCTCTGCCACCGAGATCTTGGCCATCTGATGTTCTATGGCGGCTAGCGCCCGCTCTACATGTAGGTCCTTGGATGGCAGTGCCCGCAGCTCTCCCTCTTTCTGCCGCAATCGCTCTTCCCTCCGAGACAGGTAGATGACATGGCCCAGGTAGATCAGGGTGGGTGTGCTGACAAAGAGGAACTGCAGCACCCAGTATCGGATGTGGGAGATGGGGAAAGCCTGGTCATAGCAGACGTTGGTGCAGCCTGGCTGGGCTGTGTTACACTCAAAATCCGACTGCTCGTCGCCCCACACTGACTCACCAGCAAGGCCCAGGATGAGGATTCGGAAGATGAAGAGCACAGTCAACCAGATCTTGCCCACCACCGTCGAGTGCTCCTGGACCTGGTCTAGCAGCTTCTCCAGGAAGCCCCAGTCACCCATGTTTCCAGGGCCTCCTTCTGTGGGAAGACAGGGATCAGATAGCCATCAGCTGGGATGCCTTTCTTAGCTCCTCCTAGATGGAAGCCCACAGGAGCTAGTCTGCCAGGGCTAGGGGTCCCTGTCTAATCATACATTTGTGCCTTATTTCACAGGCCAGTGCCCAAGGATGACCACATCCCAAAGAGGTCTGGATTAACTAGAGGTTCCTATGGAAACGGACCAGTTGAGGAACTTATCCAAGGTCACGCAGCTGTGCCATGCCCTTCCTTCTGTGCAAGGCTGGTTACCCTAAGACAGCAGGGGTGGAGCGAGATGTCATCTTCAGGTTATTAGTGGCCCCTGTTCCCACCTTCCGTGCCTCATTTAAAATGAGAGGGTCTCATTTTCATCTTGGCACTTGCCAGTGGCGGGTGAGGAATGATGGAGTGAGGGGCTTAAAAGCCCAGGGCATTTGATCTATCTGCCAATAAAAATACCACCTGTGACTTTAGTGAATACACCTGGTCCTAGCCTTTGCCTCCATCCCATTTCCCTCCAAGTCTGTTGCAGTCATTCTCGACCCTCAAAAGAAATGGCCATAGCAGAGTGGAGGTCCCAAGGTTCCCAGCACATTTTAGGGTGTGTGTGTGTGTGTGTGTGTGTGTGTGTGTGTGTGTGTGTGTGTGTGTGGTGTGTGTGTGTGTGTGTGTGTGTGTGTATGTGTGTGTGGTGTGTGTGTGTGTGTGTGTGTGTGTGTGTGTGTGTGTAAGTGGGTGGGTGGGTGCCTTTCCTATAAGTAAAGCAGGTACTACCAGACCTACATCTATCCTGCTTCCTTCTCTAATTAGCTGGGCATTTGGGTAACCTTCCAGTCTCTCTGCAAAGGTTCAATGAAAGAAGAGGGAACGGCGCTGAGCACAGAGCCTGGCTAAAGACAGGTTAGGTGAGCGCCGCTGGTGGCTCCAATCGTGTCTAGTGCCCCGGGCAAGCAAGCCTCAGCCCCCAGCAGTGGAGTGATCCGTATTCCCGGCTCCCCGAACTCACCGCCTGCTTGCCGGGTTGGCTCAGGTGGGGGGACGACCGTGGGTGGCCAAAGCTGCGCCTGCGGGAATCCTGCAGGACCGCGCCTCCCAACGGAGGACGCCTTAAATAGCGCGCAGCTGCGGGTTTAGGGCAGGAAACGCCAGCGGGAGGGCTCTGAGGAACAGGGGGCGGGGACTGGGTAGCACAGACTCGCAGGGCCCGCCCAGATTGTGCTTCTTGGGTTGCGGGAGATGGAAACCCTCCAGACTGCACTCTCCCAGGCTTTAGTCCCCGCCCTTTGTAGGCATCGGGCTTTCAGCTAGAGCAGGCAGATCTGACACCTGGTCCCGAGGCTGTGAGGAGTGGGTGGGGTAAGAGACGAGACTCATCAGTGTGCCGGGCTTATTAGAGCTGAACCCACACGGGGAAGGGGTGAGACTTACCCCTTCCTAGAATCCGGTGGATCTAGGGGTACTATCAGAAGTCACCTAGGAACTCTCTAGGGTCCTTTAAGACTGGGGATGGATGGAAGCTCCTGTTCTTCAGCTGGATGCCAGCTGATGCCCCTAAAAGGCAGAAGGAGAGAGGCCTTCCAAAGGAATTTGGAGGCAAGCAGAGCTCTGTCATTCACTCAGGCTTCACTGTGAATGAAGCGCATGGGATTAAAGACGATGCAGCTGGGAAATCCACAATAAACTAGCCAGGCCTGGTTTCCTGCCCCTCTTACTAGGTGCAGAAATGGAGACGGTAAGCCCTGGGTAACAGTAAAGTAAATGTGGTGTCCTCTGTGGTAGAACCAGGGCATCACCAGGTGTGGTTAGGGGCTGCAGAAGTCAGACAATGCCCAACAGCATCCCTAGCCCATCCTATCCCTGTTGCTGGTGCTAAAGCCCAGAAGAGGTTTGGAGACCCAGATGTGACTCGTGTCAGAGTATAGGGGGTCAGACTTCTGTCGCCGCCCCTGCCCTTAGACATGTCTCCATTCTTCCTCTACAGAATAAGGATAGAAATACACCTGCTTCGGAAGGTTGATGGTGCACTTAGTGTGCCATTGCCCCAGAAGGCTTGAGTGAGTGCCTGAAGCCAGTGATGTAAGCCCTGAACTTGGGGCAATAAGATAGGCAGAGCAAGAATTCCTGGCCAACCTAGGATACAGTGGGAACCTGTCTAAACAAACAAACAAACAATGAACAACCACAGAAAACAAAGGAAATACCCAGGCAGAGTGGCGCAGGCCGGTAATCCTAGCTACTTGAGAGGCTGAGGTAGAGGGATTGAAATTTCAGCACTATTAGATGCCACCACACGATGAGACTGTGGCTGTGGCTCAATGGTAGAGTGCCTGCCAATACTTACAAAGTGCTGGGTTCTAGCCCTAGCATGTAGACCAGGTGTGGTGATAATAGACCAGGTGTGGTGGAGCATGCTTGTAACCTCTCAGGGGGTGGAGGCTGGAAGGTCAGAAGTTCAAGGCCATCCTCTTCTCCATAGTGAATCTCTTTTCCATAGCGAATTTGAAGCTAGTTTGGGATATTGAATACAGAGACCCAGAGAGAGAGAGAGAGAGAGAGAGAGAGAGAGAGAGAGAGAGAGAGAGAGAGAGAGAGAGAGAGAGAGAGACAGATTCATGTCCAGTCTGAGCAACTTAGAAAGACTGTTATCTCTAAAAATTGAAAGAAAGAAACTGATGGTATGGTTCAGTAGTAGAGCACTTGCCCGGGCTTGTGAAAGGGTCCACGGTTTCAGTCTCTACTATTGCAGAAACATCACAAAACCTGGCAGAAAGGACCTGTGTTGTTCCAGGAGGGGGCAGGGAAGCCAACGGAGGTAAGAGCAGAGGACTGGCAGGGTCTAGAAAGTGTCAGATGGGTGTGCAGTGGAAGTCCCAGTTCCAAACGGGATTCTATCCTTGCACTCCCAGGGCCTTCTGGAATGGAGCAGCTAGTGGGTAGGATCAGACTGCACACCAGCATGATTGCTGTCTGAAGAGCAGACGGAGCTGGCTTTTCCTTCCAGACCTCTCAGGCCCTTTCCCTTCCTCTCCCTCAGGGCCGTGCTAGGCCAGGCTGCACTGAGTCTCCTGGGATTCCAAAGGGGACAACTGGGCCCACTGAGTTCTGACCCTTAAGGGCATGGGAACTGGGCCTGGCCTGCTCTTACCACACCCCCAAGGCAGCCTCTGCTCCAGTAGCCGCCCTGCTGAGCTGCCTTTGGGGTTGGGCCCAGCTCTTTTGAAGGTTTTGCTCTCCCTGGGGAGGTGGGGGGGGGCGTTGGTTGGTTGGGGGGCTGGGAGCTAATTGAGGACCATGTGGGTGATGCCAGGGTTGCCTTCACCCACCTCCCACCCCTCCCTTATGAACTCCAAGATCAGGTTTCATGGAGGAGGAAGAAGAAGGGACCAGCCAATACAATCTTCACAAGTCAACCATTCTGAGGGAAAATGTCCCTCTTTCCATTGTCCTGACCCAGTTCAAACTGCCACCAATCAGTGACCCTGGAATAGTCTTCTAGCCTCCAGGCCCTGACTTGCTCCACTCAGTCTCCACATTTTCATAGAACTTTGGCAAAAAAGTTGCCCTGTTTCAAACCCTGCTGTGGCTCTTCCTGCCTTCAGGGCAAGTCTGCACTTTTCACTTTCCAGGCCTTGGCCACTGCTTGTGGCCTTAGCACTCTGCCACATTGTCACCAGCACCTGCCCCCCCCCAAATCCAGTTATTCTAACTATGTGGTCTCTGCTCTTGTCTTTGCCCATGGCATTGTATCTTCCTGGTGTACCCTCTCATGCTGATCCCGCCAGTCTCTCAGCTGCCAGTCTCTCAGGTCTGAGACTCGGAGGCATAGACCAGTAGTCCCAGCATTCATGAGGAGGATTGCCAGTTATAGGCTAGCAAGATCTACACAAGATCTCATCTCAATCAAAACAGCTTTTATTTCAAAGGGAATAAGAGATGGTTTGTTTATTCTGGAGCCAAATATGAGTGACCATGGCCTGGGAACACATATTTAAGTTACCCCAAATATTGTGCTCCAACATGGCAACAGTTCATGGAGTTTTTATAGTCACAGAACAAAGTGTTTTAAGAATACACCAGTAGAAACATCAGGCAGCAGAGTCTTGGCAAAACAGGGGATTCAGTACTACAGGCCCCAGATGCAATCAGAATGCCTTTGGCTTGGTGGAAGCTAGGAGTCTGTATATTCCAATCACATTACCTAATTGTCACAAGCATGCTGGCTCAAGTGCAAGTTGGGCAATACACGGCTTTTAGGGGGCCTAAAGATAACCTAACAATCTTTAACAAAGATGCAGTACGTGTAAGTAAGTACACACACACACACACACACACACACTCACACACACACACACACACAGGCATCTATCACCATTAGACCTGCCATCTCAACCAAGTTAGCTTCAACATGTATCAAGTATATTCACGTTGCTATGCAACAGATCTCTAGACTTTTCATCTTGCCATGTGAAGTGGCACCGTTTGAATGCCTTCCTTTTTCTATACTCCCCTTCCCCATTACACTGGGAGTTTCTTTCCTTCTTCCTTCCTACCTTCCTTCCTTCCTTCCTTTCCTTCCTTCCTTCCTTTCTTTCTCCCTCCCTCCCTTTCTTTCTTTCTTTTCTTTTTCTTTTTTTTTTTTTGAGACAGGTTTTCTCTGTGTAGCTTTGGAGCCTATCCTGGCACTTGTTCTGTCGACCAGGCTGGCCTCGAACTCACAGAAATCCGCCTGCCTCTGCCTCCCAGAGTGCTGGGATTAAAGGTTTGTGCGGCCAACGCCCGGCCACACTGGGTGTTTCTTAAGGGCAGGTAGCCAACACAAAGCAGGGCATCCGGCCTGCAGATGAATCTACCAATTCAACATATGCTTACTGAGTACCTTGTGGTGCTGTGACACTATTCAGACACTTGGAGCAGCTGGAGGACACAAGAAATTCCTAGCCTTCTGAATTTTACTTTGTAGCTGTGGGAAGACAGAAAAGACAATGAAATAAAAGATGAGATAGTGGCTTAATCTGAGGGGAAAACATTGCAGGGACCCTGACAGCACAGGGCACTCAGTTTTAAGTTCCAATAGAAGAGAAATGTGTGCCAAACAGCTGCCATTGAGGCTGAGCCTTGAATGAAGAAGGAAGGCTTTGCAGGTGGAGAGAGCCTAGGTGTAAAGTCCCTGAGGCAGGGGGGTGCCTGGTGTTTCCTCCCTGAGGTGCAGTGAGGAGGTCTGCATGGCTGGGGCAGGTGATGAGGTTCAGGAAGGTGAGAGGTAAGTTGTGGGGTGGGGTAGAAACGCAGGACCTGTTGTTAGAGTTGACTTTAAAAGTCTGGGGCAGGTAGAAACCCAGGACCTGTTAGAGTTGACTTTGACAGTCTGGGGCAGAGGAATGCTGTGGTGTCACTTCGGTTTTGCAGTATGTCCTCCACCCCATGCTGCGTTGGAAATAAACTATGGGGTGACCATGCAGACTGCCCCCTTGAACTGTGTAGAGTCTGGTTGGCTGGAAGCAATTTCAGGTCTGCTTCTGCTGTCCAGGTGCTCACATCCATCCTAGGCGGGTTCCTGGCAGTGATGGATTCCCAGCTCCAGTGTGCTTGCTCCCTCCCCATCTGTGGATGCAACTCCCCAATGTTCCTATGTTCTCGATTCTTCTTCAGTTTCCTAGGGCCGGGAGCAGGAGACAAGGGGATGTCTTAACTAGCTGGGACTGCTGTAAGCAGAATACCAGAGCCCCAGTGGCTTAAACCAAACCATTCCTTACATGGAGGACCAGGCATCATGCAGCATGGCCAGGTTCTAGGTAAAGGACAGCTGACTTACATATTCATGGGACAGAAAGATTCCCTCCATCTTTCTCTCCCCACTCTCCTGTGGCCAGGCTGGCCTCAAACTCAATATGTAGCCAAGGATGACTCTGAACTTCTGATCCTCCACCTCTTCCTACTGAGTGTTAGGAATATGGGGGTGTGCCATGCCTATCAGTTTTGTTGGGGGCTGGACACTGAGCCCAGGGCTTCATGCATGTTGCACCTCCAACTCTTCCCATGCCTTTTTGATTTTGTTTGTTTTCCAGACTGTCCTCCAA